ATCTATGGTGGCCACTCATGGCCACCCCCTAGATACACCATTGCTCCTGGTGCAGTAACGCTTGTTTTCTAACCTTTTTCTTTATTTACTTCATCCTGGATGACTGTGAAACTACTAGTTCTAGTTAAACAGAGGTTAATGCTCTTCTTAAAGATGGAAAGTAGTAATTATTTGATTCACCAGTCTCATTTCGTCATGGTTTGTCACATGTAAACAAAGAAAAGAGAAAACTTGTGAAAAGATTATGATTTATTTAAWCAGAAAATTATTCAGCTCAGTACAGTTAAGATTGAAAAGCTGCTCGTTTGTGGAGCCGTGTCCGATCCAAGTCATTAACAGGCAGCCCAGGTTTATTTATAAGCATGATTACTTACAGGCTGCTCACTGTTGTGGTTTTCCATCATCTAATTTCCTCCATTACAGAGTCAAGCTCACGGGTCGACTCTTGTGAGACTTGGACACGGTGCTGAGGAAGAGCTCGTCTGTGGATTGCTGCTCGTTTTCTGAAGGGGTGCCCCGGTGATATAATGAAACAAGTGAGCAAACATATCATGCTGTTTGAGAGGACATATTGCTATTCTCATAACCTCTTCAGCAAACTCAAGCCCCCCCCAAGATTGAACCTATTAGGAGCAGAGAGAAGGTGGGTGTTTGTGTGGGAGGGACTGTAACCTCTGAGTGACATCCTGTCAGAGATTTGATCTGAAAAACGACGAGTTACATATTTAAAATTAGCATATTTTATGATCGTCTTAAATCTACCGTCCAAAATACACTCTGGTGTGTGTAAAAAACACAGACAAAAATAAATGAAAGCTGATTTTAGCCCCCAAAACAGTAAGGCTGCAAAAAACAAACAAACTCCAGTTTATTCAAGTCTTTGCTTTTCTTCATCGTTTTTTTTTTATTATTATTATTCTGTCCTTGATTTGAGAGTCTACCATGATCAGTGACATGGGAGCTGTTAGAGTCACCATCAGCGGCCTGCTTTTTTCTGTTGCCATTAGGAATCATGGCTCTTTCCCCCCCATCATTAGATTAACTCCCATGGTCTGCCGACGTGTTATTACCCGAGCTGCTGCGCTTTAGGGAGCACACAAAAGCCCCTCTTTCACCTAGTAATTTGAGTCAGACAGGACTCATTGGGGCAGGAGACAACAGAGATGGAGCTGCTGCCACCATCGCCTGATATTTGTGTCTTCCACTGGCTCGATTACACGGACGGGTAGAGTGCATGCTTGGCAACGGCGACGGTTCTGGGGACACATCGTTCTCATTAGTTTCCTCCCTTCCATAGGTAGAGTACTGCTGCTGGAGGGGGTTTCACACACTGCAGTCCATGTGACAAATAAGTATTTATGATAATAATGCTCCTGATAAAGAGGATGTAAAACACTTGGGTCATGTAGCAGGGAATGTTTTGGTCCCTATTCAAAAACAACCCTCCTGTTGCTCTCTGTGGAATAAAACCAAAAAATGTACACCACAATGGCATCACTGGGACACCAAACAGGAAAACCTTTTATCTGATGAAGCCATTACAGAAAAACAGACAGTTATTTGTTCATTCAGGCAGAAAATAAAACCAGAAAATAGATTCAGTGCATAAAATAGGGGAAAACAAACCCGATTGTTGTATTGTACAATTCACTCAACCTTCAATACACGAGATAAAAAAACAAGGTGAAACACGTCTATGGAGAGAAATTAGTCTCCTAAACGTGGATTGTATGTCGTTTACAAAAGTGTGCACCAATTGCTGCAGACATTTGTGTAATTGAAAATGGTTTGTCCAAACACAAATATAAAAACAGTCTGAATGTGTTCACGTTATATAATTGAATATTCTTTCGTCCATGCAGATTTTTTTCCCTCAGCAACACAAATACCATGGTTTTCACTTTTGAAAATGTTCAAAGTTACTTCGGCAGTCTCAGAAAGAAGAGGCAGTTTTCCTTCTTTGAAAATCTTTACTTGAAGACCCTCGCTACAAAGATTACTTCTCTGACATCTTTGTTCATAGTAGTTTTTAGCCCTACACATGGGTGCCTGATTATGTGACTGTATGCAAACAATCAGCAGACTGCAGGTCTGGATTTGGATTTGGAAAAAAAAAAACAACGTTAATCATTAGTGTGTGTCTTTACGAGAAACAAATCAAACATTTTTAAAGGGAAAATATTATGTGCTTCTCGGGAATACAGTTAAATTCCATACCATAATAAAGTAACTATGTCACCTTCAGTTGTTATTAATATGATGTTTATATGTACAAATCAAAAATAAATTTGACCACATTACAGCCGTTTCTAAATGCCTTCAAATTGGCCTCTGTCTCTTTAAGAACCTCCTCCCGCTTCCATCACGCCAATTTCTGCACATCATCACAACTTCATGCTGTTTACAACCTGCAGCGTCATAGCATATATTGTTGTAATAATAATAATAATAATAATAATAATAATAATAATAATAATAATAATAATAATAATAATAATAATACAACATTATACAATAGGCCTATTGGTTTTGGAAAATAGCAGCTCAGGATATGTGAACCTGAGAACGATCTCACTTTGGACTCAGAAAATATGTTTTCTGAAGAACCGGAGCGAGTAGAGAGGCAATGGTTCAGAGGGTACAATATCTCCCAGTCATCCTCACAGACACATGTCAATGTTGAGATATTTATTACTAAAATGTAGTGTAAGTTGACTAAAGAACACAGACTRTAATATAAGTTACAAATGATAACTGTAGATCACAAATAGACTAAACAACCGAACAGAACAGCATGAGTTGTTTTTCAGCTTGCCTGGGCAGATGACAACAGTGTTTGTGTCCTTTTGAGTGTTGGAATTGCATCGTCTTTTAGTGATAATCTTATTAGTCCACTGTTAAATTCTCTTTTGTTCAGAAAGCCATCATCCATAAAGTGACTCACACAAATATATAAATTATTTTTTTCCGTCGGAGTGTTACTATGAAAAATGAAGTCAAACCATTTTTTWAAGAACCGTGTCATCCTTGGCATCTGAAAATCCATCAGATGCGTGGTTTTACCAGTTGTTTGCTAGTTGTTGCTGCTGAYAGCCAGCAGGAATCAATGGGGAGGCATACTCTGTGATGAGGAAGCTCAGCTTGGAGACACAGCCCAGAGGAGGAGCTGATCCTAAAAGGTGGTTCAAGTCCCAACCAGTCGTTTTTGCTCTCCTGCCTGGCTGCCTCAGGATATCATAGGATTTCTCAAACATGCAAGAATGAGTCAAAGCAAGACTGGACATGTTTTTGATAAGAGGATAATATTATAACATGATATAAAGCTTTAAAAAGTTGCTTTTACATGATGTTGCCCCTTTAAAATTCTCACAATTGCAAAATTCATTTTTGTTATTTACTTTTAAAATATATAATATTAAAATGGCGACACTTATGAAAAGACAGAAACAAAGTGTGTGTGCGTGCGTGTGTGTGTGTGTGTGTGTGTGTGTGTGTGTGTGTGTGTGTG